TCTGTCTTTCAACAGGGTCTTCCTCTGTCACCCAGGCTAGAGTGAGTGGCACGATCACCACCCACTGTAGCCTTGACCTCCTGGGCTCAAGTGATCCTCCCACCTCAGCCCCCAGAATAGCTGGGACTACAGCCATGCATCACTGGCTAATTTTTTTTTTTTTTTTTGTAGAGATGAGAAGGTCTCACTATGTTTCCTAGGCTGATCTTGAACACCTGAGCTCAAGCAATTCTCCTGTCTTGGCCTCCCAAAGTGTTGGGATTACAGAAGTGAGCCACTGCACCAGGCTGTGACTCGGTTTTTAAATAGACAATTGTAATAAGAGGAACTATCAGCTGCAAAGCACATAAGGACTGTGAATTTAAACCCCACCAGTGGCTCAAAAGAGCTAATTTCCACTTGTAGTAGTCTTCACCACAACCCACTGAAGTGCATGTCATTCTTCCCACTTTACAGATGAGAATACTGCTGGGGGGTAAGAAATTATCCAAGGTCACAGAGATGATAAGTGACAAAGCTAGAACTTGTTATATTTCAAGTCTGTGCTCTTTTTGCCTTTGTATTCCTGAGACCACAAGCCTCCTTTACAATTGTCTTATTTACTTAATTTTCACCCAGATAGATATGCTTCCTAAAATATTCCCATTTTGATCATTAAAATAATTACTCTTTTTAATGTTTCCACTTTAAGTTAGGACATCTGGTACCTAGGATGTTTTGCATCCTAGGTACCGGTACTAGTACATTATTGGCACTGATTGTATTTTTATGGCTCTGAACAGTATGTTCTCACAATCCTGGGCACCCAGCCAGGGACTCTCATGCTAATTGACAGATATGGAAACCGAGGCCCAGAACAATTAAAATGAGACAGACATTCTTAAGATCCCAAGTGAATCAATGGAAAAGCTGCTATTAGAACTCTAATTTCCTGATTCCCAGGTCTATGTCCAGCCTTGTGCTTCACACTTTTTCCCTAGGAAGTTACATCACCCTCCCCACGTACCTTCTCTGTCTACTCCATTTATATCTCTAGGTCTCCTTTAAATCTCTCATTGCTTTCTAAGGCATTGACTTGAAAGTATCTTTGCATGAGTTTACGAGAAATGTCCATTCTACACTGTGAACACAGACATTTTTGTACATCTATTCATGGTAAAAAAAAAAAAAACAAACAGAAAGGAATATTTTTTACAAATCCAAGTATATTTTGACATGTATTCAGAATGCACTGAATCCAACAAAGTTCAGCTAA